TTTTGTCCAAATAAATAAATAAGTAGATGTTTATTACAAAATAAAGCTTAATTGTTTCTTTTGTGTCTAGCGCTACTTGATATTTGGACAAAAATAACATCGAGTGTAAAACATCCATGCGCTACTAGATTAAAATGTGTGCTTTTTGATGGGGGAAAGAAATGAATTTTTAAGATAAACAAAATACTATCGTATAAAGAATGTTTTTAGGATCTCAATAATAAAAAAAAATTTTGGCACCCATTTAAAAAAAAAAAGTAGACAATCGCCATTTTGAAATAATTCGTCCAATTGAAAATGTGGTATCACCATCGTGTAGAGAATGTCCTAAACCATATTACTGCCAAATATTTTGAAAGTAGTACCCATAGTGTGGCTAAAAAAAATAAGGCGCTTACTCTGAATCAGGCTGTATAACAAATAAAACTAGAACTAACACTAGACCTAGAACTAGAAAGTATCGAATGTTTCTAGTTCTAGGTCTAGTGTTAGTTCTAGTTTTCCACTAGCACTATCATTAGAACTAACACAAGACCTAGAGGTAGAATCATTCGGGTTTAGCCGTCTTGAGAGACGTGCGGCTAAATCCGAATATTTCTAGTTCTCGGTCTAATGTTAGCTAGTATTGCACTAGCGCTAGAACTAACCACAAGACCTAAAACTAGAATCATTCGGGTTTAGCCGTCTTGAGAGACGTTCGGCTAAACCCGAATGTTTCTAGTTCTAAATCTAGTGTTAGTTCTAGTTTTACACTGTCACTAGAACTAACACTAGACCTAGAACTAGAATCATTCGGGTTTAGCCGTCTTGAAAGACGTGCGGCTAAATCCGAATGTTTCTAGTTTTCGGTCTAATGTTAGTTCTAGTGTTGCACTGGCACTATCACTAGAACTAACACAAGACCTAGAACTAGAATCATTCGGGTTTAGCCGTCTTGACAGACGTGCGGCTAAATCCGAATGTTTCTAATTCTAGGTCTAGTGTTAGTTCTACTTTTCGTTTAATAAAGATATACCACAACCTAACGCTGAATAACAATTAAAACTAGAACTAACACTAGACCTAGAATTAGAAAGAATCGGGTTTAGCCGTGCGTCTGAAGACGCACGGCTAAACCCGAATATTTCTAGTTCTAGGACTAGTGTTAGTTCTAGTTTTAGTTCAAAAGCAATATACAACAACTTAGCGCTATCTACTGCTAACTAACTTTACTTAGCACTGTCACTAGAACTAACACTAGACCTAGAACTAGAAACAATCGGGTTTAGCCGAATGTCTCTTAAGACAGCTAAACCCAAATGTTTCTAGTTCTAGGTGTAGTTCTCGGTCTAATGTTAGTTCTATTGTTGCACTATCACTAGAACTACCACAAGACCTAGAACTAGAATCATTCGGGTTTAGCCGTCTTAAGAGACGTGCGGCTAAATCCGAATGTTTCTAGTTCTCGGTCTAATGTTAGTTCTAGTGTTGCACTAGCACTATCACTAGAACTAACACAAGACCTAGAACTAGAATCATTCGGGTTTATCCGTCTTGACAGACGTGCTGCTAAATCTGAGTATTTCTAGTTCTAGGTCTTGTGTTAGTTCTACTTTTCGTTTAATAGAGATATACCACAACCTAACGCTGAATAACAATTAAAACTAGAATAAAATAAAAGAATTGCACTTTTTTTAATGGATAATTGTTATATTTATGTTCTACCGGTTTCGACTCAACATAGAGTCATCGTCAGGAACGCGTCATAAATTGAACTAAAGCCCTGGTATTATTATTAAGCATTTGTTCGTGATTAAAGAAAAACATTAAGGAAATCAAAAATTTAATAAATGCGCAATTATGGGCGGATGCGATGAGTGATGAACCGTCTGACAAGATGGTTGTCCGGAACGTCACGTTCAAATTATGACGCGTTCCTGAAGATGACTCTATGTTGAGTCGAAACCGGTAGAACATAAATATAACAATTATCCATTAAAAAAAGTGCAATTCTTTTATTTTATTTTAATACGAATAATGGAAACAAATAATAATTACACCAAAAATTAAAACTAGGTCTAGTGTTAGTTCTAGTTTTAGTTCATTAGCAATATACAACAACTTAGCGCTATCTACCGCTAACTAACTTTACTTAGCACTGTCACTAGAACTAACACTAGACCTACGAACAATCGGGTTTAACCGAATGTCTCTTAAAACCGCTAAACCCGAATGTTTCTAGTTCTAGGTGCAGTGTTAATTCTAGTTTTAGTTCAATAGCAATATACAGGTGTCCTTAAAGTAGCGGATATAGGCGATAAAATCATTATAAACGGTTTATGGAAAAATCTCTGAAACGTAAGAAGTCTAAAGATTTAAATTTTTTAAGAAAATTACTTTAAAGTTTAATTATTTCAAATTTGTATAAATGATAAAAGCAGCAGTAGCCATGAGTAACTATGGTAACCAATTATTTTAAACAATTCGCTAAGTGTCAAAAACTGATTTAGTAAAGTTTCTTGAAGTGTGGTGGCGCGCCATCTTGCTGGAATAACTGCCGTTGGAATTGAGTTGGATCAACATTATCGGGATGGAAGAAATGACATCGTTTGGAAAGAATTTAAATATCTCTTTCCAGTTAAGGTTTCCTCCAATCTATTGCGGATATTGGGTGTGCGACTTTCTTGTCTAATTTGGATTTTGGGTAGCCCAATTTCGACAATTTTGTCTGTTTACTTACTTATCACTCAACGTAAATGTTCCTTCGTCAGAAAAAATTATGTTTTTACAGCAACATGAGGGTTTTCTTGCCCAGCCAAAACCACGTTTTGTTGAACCTCCCCTGAAACATTTGGTAGGCTAGACTTTGAGAAATGCTTCGAGAGATGCCCATGCTTTTTAAATTTAGTCACAGCTAGGCTCACCATACTCTGGCTAATGAGTTGGCGATCCGGATATTTTGTATTCAAGAAGTCAACTACTTACTAAATCAGTTTTTGACGCTTAGGAAATTGTTTGAAATAATTGGTTACCATAGTTACTCAGATCATAGTCTCAGACTCATTCCTTGTAGATTATCTAAAAACTTAGCCTCTTGGCCATTCGTCTTGATTTTTGGGCTAAATTGTCTCAGCACTACACCTCTACGGCGCTCAAATCCTTCATACTATTGTCCATCTATCGCTTTCTGGGCCTTGTAGTCTTTAATCCACGTTGATTGTTGTGATCCTTTCTGTAGTTCTCTTGTTTCGTGATGATAAATGGAATTACATCAAAACAGCATCGTTGGTGCCCTGACTAGTCACTCTAAAGAAAGAATAGGTAACTACGGAAATTTTAAATCTTATGGATGCAAGAAGAAGCTTTAAAAGGAGAAATGAGCAAAGATATAAAGAAATGCAACAGACAATTCGCTCAAAAATTAGAAAAGCAAAGGAAAATTATTACAGATAAAAATGTGAAGAGATTGAGGAGCTACAAGCTAAGCACGACAGTTTCAATATACACAAAAAAGTCTAATTGTAAGAGAGATGGTGAAATAATCACGAAAATAGAATAGAAAATAGAAACATGGAAGAACTATGGTGAGCAAATTTTTAAAAATGAGACAACAAATCAATCTTGAAAATATAGAAGGAGAACTAAGAACTATTAACAGAAAATCTTCGGGTCAAGACCATCTACCACTCGAAATTCTTAAGTTGATAGAGTAGGACAAGATCCACATGTTGGTAGAACTAGAGAATGGTAATGCGTAGTGCTTCACGGATAGAGAAGTATGTGTTGTTGTGGTACATCCTAGATTCTTCCACGATTCATCAACGTGGAGGAGGTGATGAGACGTATGCAGAAGGATAGAGAGATAGTACTCACAATAAAATAAAGGAAGTATTACATTCTTTTGCAAATCATTATGCAAGGAAAAATTCTGGGAAAGAGGTCCATAGGAAGAAGACGTAACTCCTGGCTAAAGAACCTTTGGGAGTGATTTGGCTGCACCAGCAACGAACTATTCAGATCTGTGGTCTCAAAAGTTAGAATTGCCCTAATGACAATCAATAATTCAATTACGTATCCATTTCGATTCAATTAAGTAATTATTGGCTTCAGCCCAATGGCTTAACTTTCCATGTCCCGTCGTTTTAGTTACCTTTAATCTTCTTGTTGTAATTACTTCATAATATTATTAAACTTTAATTTTACTAAACTTTTATTCTAATTCGAAAATCGAGCCTATCGACATCTATGAATAAATCTTTACACTAAAAGAGAAAGATATAAAGATCGATTCGTTTTAAATTAATTTTTTATCATAATTTATGAAGATAATTATCTTTTATGAATAATTAAATATTTCCTAGTTTTTTTTAAGTAATACTCATTATTTACTTTATTTTTTATTAATATATCTAACAGCCATAAAGCGATAACTTCACTCGTATCGGTCAGCTGTCAAAACTATAATAACTTGGAAACCTTTTTTAATTATAGCGATAATTAAAGTTATTTGTAGATTTATTATTTTTTATTTCCTTTTAAGGAAATTATTAATAAAATTGTTATTAAATTTGTAATTTTAGATATGTTATAAAGTGTCGCCATCTAGATATGTTTGTAAAATGAATTTTGACGTTACTTGTCAAATCTATCAAAATTTAAGCTTTTATATTATCATTATTATCAATTTAATTGACGTAAAAGGAAAATTCTTTAAAAAGGTAACAAAAAGGCTGTGAATTTTTGTCGTCTTTTGAGTGTTGAATTGCGAGTGGCAATAAATTTCATAATACGTTTTACCCATCTTTATTCATAACCGTCGTTGTAGCCCGGATCGTCTAATACTCTTGAATATTCAACGGTTTCCAAGTTGTATTCATTAACGCAGCGTTAGAGAGCATGGGGAAGAAGTTGGAGGAATGTCATTTATTTGATTTACCTCGTGAAAGCTTCGAATGGGAGTTATATTAGTTTTTGAATACATAACATGTAAGATATGTGTTAATTTTTTTTTGTTGTTGCAGACGTTTCGCCATGGATTTCCATTTAATCCAACCGCAATGGCTTACGATCCCATTCAAAAGCTTTTAGCAATTGGCTCCAAAGGGGGATCGCTCAGGATGTATCCTTTTTTCAGAGTCGGGAAAGGTTAGTGGTTCGTTTTTGTGTTTACTAATTTCCGAAAGTGATTTAACTCTACTTCAAAATAGCAATTTGAGATTATTAAACGATCATGCTGATCAAATTGCTAAATCCTATCGACATAAAAACTTTATTTCTCCTTATTTTTTTATTTTTATTATTTCTATTGCTGTTTATTTTCATTATTTTTATTTCCGGTATTTTCATTTTTGCGTTTAATTCGAGCGTAGTTTATGATGGAACTTTATAATGAAAAAAAAGGACAAAACATAAACCCGTAAACGTGGAATTAAAATTTTTATGATCTGTCTGCAATAAAATTCCCAATGGACAGTTTTAGATTGCAATCGAAATTTTAATGGTTCTTTTTGCGCTCGTTTTCACTCGATTAATTAATGGTTTGTTGCAAACATGACACATTTGAGTATTTATACCGGGATAGTTACGAAACTAGTATGCACTTGTATTGTTCCACATAAAATACAACATAGCTTAATAGTACAAGCATTAAATAGTTTTGCAAAGGAAAAGTTTTGCTTGGAAAAATGTGAGCCGCACGTCTCTCAAGACGGCTAAACCCGAATGATTCTAGTTCTAGGTCTTGTGTTAGTTCTAGTTATAGTGTAAAACTAGAACTAACACTAGACCGAGAACTAGAAACATTCGGATTTAGCCGCACGTCTTTCAAGACGGCTAAACCCGAATGACTCTAGTTCTAGGTCTTGTGATAGTGCTAGTGTAAAACTAGAACTAACACTAGACCTAGAAACGATTTCGAGAATTGGGCACCGCATATTTTTATTTAACGCCGAATGTCAGTTACGTTAACCTCAAAGTATCAAATTTAAGAAAAGATTCCCCACACCACCCCAGAGATTTTTTTTTATTAGACACTCTACTTTGGAACTAAATAATACGATCACTCTTATACTCTCCGCCACTGTTCACAAATACATGCGGTCATACATGTACATTTTCAACTCGTTACTAACACTAGGTATTCCCGGATTTCCTTGATATTACAGCCATCAAAGAGCGATTTTAACTGAACTCTTCGACAATAGACGTCTCTTATAGCCGATGTTGAAGAATATTCTAATCTGTACTTAGAGGATTACCTTACGGGTAATACTACGGTATTTTAGCAGATAATATTACGTAATATTACTTCAATTAGCGGGAATATTATTTTTTACATCACTAGCTGTAACCATAGTTACGACACTACTATGCAGTTGCACTGTCTCACATAAAATGCGACATAGCTTAATATACAGGGTGCCCATTATGTATGGAATATAGTATATATCTTGGTAGGTATCAACTTTATAAAAAAACATTTTATACAAAAGTTGTTTAATATTTTATTTGACATAATAAGACAGTATTCAATTGTTCTTATTTCAAAAAACAAATGAGCAACGAATACACTTGAAGTTTTTTAAATAGCAATGTACCCTTTTGTTAGGCTCATTTGACAGAGATTTTTTTTCTCTTTACGATGACGTAAAATTTTAATACCCTTACATCAGAAAATTTTTGAAAAAAATGAAAAAATTCTTTATTGAGAAAATTTAACTAATGACATTAATCTAGATATCCGAGATTGTCAAGTACGTCGAAGAACCTCGAATTATCGGAGATGTACACTAATTTTTCGTTTATTTGTTTTATTTTGTATGTAAATTTAATTTACATTAATAATTCGGGGTACTTGACGATCTCGGATATCTAGATTAATGTTATTGAGTAATTTTTATTAATAAACAATTTTTCCATTTTTCTCAAAAATTTTATGCCATCGTAAAGAGAAAAGTAATCTCTCTCAAATGAGCCTAAAGGAAGAATACATTGCCATTTAAAAAAATTTTATTATTATTCGTTACTCATTTGTTTTCTGAATTAAAAACAATTAAATGCAGTCTTATTATGGCAAATAAAATATTAAACAAGTTTTGTATAAAATGTTTTTTTATAAAGTTGATACCTACCAAGATATATACTATATTCCATACATAATGGGCACCCTGTATATANAATAGGTTTTGATTTGTTTTTAGTTCATATATCAGGTTTCCCCATAACAATTATTTAACTATTCCTTTTCATAATGTTTGTCATATACCGGGTGTCACACAAAAAACGCCCCAACAACAAACTTGAAGTTGGCGTTGTAAAAAATTTATTTGTAACGTGAATCATAGTATTTATAAAACCATTTCATTTGATATCTGGGTCATGAAAATCGAAGTGTAAATAATAGAGTTACAGGTTAGGGCGTTTTTTGTGTGAACACCCTGTGTAATATTTTTATATAACATTGTTTTTATTTTCTATTTGATTTTCCTTTGATCTTTAACTTCAAAGTATTTCTAGATATAGTCGAGACTAAATCATCTTAATGCAATAAAATTTCCAAGGCATGCACTTATTGTATCGACGAGCACAAGTCTGAAGCCTGAAGTGTGTATGTGTTGCGGTGTATTGCGCTGGTAATATTATTGCTTCACATTAGCAGCATTAGTTATTGAGTGGTTACTCATTTAAATGTAGGTTATGTTAGTAATGGAGGTTATATGTCAAACATTGTCAAAGATATTATTTAATGATTTTCCTTTCAAAGAAAATATTTTCGGCTTGTGAAAACACTAACAGATTCATGACAACGCTCACAAGACGTTTCGATTTGAGGTTATAATTATAGAGTTACATCCCTTAGGCTCGTTACTACCATCTTCTGGTTAAGCTATCTAAGGGATTATTACCATGGTAACGGCTATTGTACGCGCTCTGATTGGCTAGTAGATAGGTTTATCTATAAGATAAATTTAACTAAAAGATGGTAGTAATGGACCTTGGAAGAACAGACGTACTTTTTCGACGTGGCCATTTGAATTGTACAGCAGACATATTAAACTAATGCTATCTCTTTCTAACACACATTACTCTCTAGCGGTTTGTGAACTACGTAAGGCATTTGTAAGAGCGGAAAACGATGATTTACTGCCAGCTCTCGTGGCGTCTACTATAGTACAGGCATTGGGTAGTTTTGCAAAGGAAAAGTTTTGCTTGGAAAAGGTGACGTCTTTATGATAACTCTAAGCTTCCGTCTTAGGATACGCCCGGTTAAACCCGAATGATTCTAGTTCTAGGTCTAGTGTTAGTTTTAGTTTTATTTCAATAAAAGTATGCAACCAGTTCCCCGTATTAACCCGTTATATCGAGGTTTTAGTGTAATATCAAATTATATTGACATGTTGCATTTTATGTGGGACAAAGTAAGTAGTCTAGTTTTAAAACTCCCGCCAAAAACTAGCTTTGAAAAATTACACTGTGTAAACGTGACATTTCATTTTACTCCCCCGAATTAAAAAGTGGAGTATAGGTAAAAATGTGACACACATAAACCTGGAACATCGGTGAAGGCGAATTCAACTGACACGACGGACGGCGAGCGCTGCGGTTTTTACAGTTACGATCGGATTTATTTTGCATTTTACGACCTGGATATGCTGCCCCGCGTTGCCCTTTACGAGGTAGCCGTACGTTTTCACTTTTTTGTTGTACGTAGGTGGTGGCAAGATGGATTAACGTTTGCAAGGGTGAATCTCCGAAAGACAGCTTTCTACGCATTTGTAATATTGAAATTTCCATGGTGTTGGCTTCGTGGCCTCAACGAAATGGAATCGTTTTTCGTTTCACAGAGGAGAACCCATTAGACTGAGTGATATCTCCGGCGCGACATTGTGGCCGAATTGGGGTTACCTAAAACGGTCGTCTCTCTTTGTAGAACTAGACAGTCGATTTATATGGCCGACATAAAATCGATATCTGTAACATTTTAAACTTATCCCAAAAGAATAAAGTGTGATAAAATAGAAACAAGGTTGATAAAAAAATATCAAACATGTATGTCTATAACATGTATGTGCAGGCCATTAAAACCATTCCTGGAATCTACCGACCGCACCACACGAAGAAAAACAAAACATTTACGAGAAAATACAGACATTTGCAGTACAAATGAGCTTGAGGATCGCTGGCAATTTAGCTGCTTCCAATATTTTAAAAGATATTACGAAATCGCAACTACAACTATCACCTACATAAGCATTATCTATGTTTGTGGAGGCAGATTTAACGAGGAGACAATACAATATTGTGAGAAAAGGTGACAAACAGCGTTTTCCGTGTTACTCACTATTGCAAACAACAGCAGTGCTATCCAATACCTGAGGCATTTCGAATAACATCCACATGTGTTCCCACATGTTCTCGTTTATGCCAGTATCTGGATGAAGTCTGATTGAAGGATGCAGTAAAGAAGAACGTTCTAATTTAGAATTGATTTAAAAATGGGGCTGTGATGGATCGCAGCAAACCCAATTCAAACAGAAGTTTTAAAATACAACAGACTCTGATGCAAATAATTTCCAAAGCTCCTTTGTTCCACTTACAAGGGAAGTAGCAGAACTGTCCCCACCGATTTTGTTGAAATTTGGTACAGCGATAGTATGGCCAAAAATAAGGTTTACGTATTTTTTTATACGTGCTAATAAAGCCCCTGGGGCGAGTTATAAGGGTTGGAAATCGGAGCGAAATATATACAGTGTGTCCCAGGATAGATGTTACAAGCGGTATAATGACTTAAAATATTTTGAATTTTATTTTAAGGCTGAGGAATTAAGCCCTGCTTGGTGTAAAGACACAATTTAAAAAAGTAACATAATTATCTATATAAGACGCACTGGTTTCGAAGCTGTAACTTGCACTTTACCCAAGCCCTTAACACTGGACGATGTAAATTTTCTGTTCTAATGTTAACATAATGCAAGAGTAATTGAAATGTGAGCTAAAACTGAGGAATAATACATTTTTTATGGCATTTTTCATTGTTGTTTGTCTTCACTCTGATGTAATCTAAAATATGGTGGTTTAATCAAAGTAGGTAGATCTTTCAGAAATTTTGCATAGTGTCAT